TGGAGTGTAAGGACCTCCAGTGAAACAAGTCATTAAATTCGATACAAGTTAATAAACTTGAGAGTGACTCAAAAACAGTGCGGGCTTACAGTTGACTATGACGGATAGAAATGTAGAGATAGAACAGGTTGATGGGGGAGTATCGATGCCGGTGGAGCTGCAACAAATTAGAGATTTCTTTCTGATAAGCAGAGACGAGGTTCAGAATAATAGTTTTATCGAATGCAATAATGCAGGACTGTCATATTAGGTCGTTTCTAAGTTTTGGCACTGGAGCAATAAACACCAAGTTTACTAAACAGAAGTAATTGAAACTGCATGACTTTGATGGAGTTCAGTTGCGCATTTTATTGCGGACGCTTTGATGTACAACTTGCCTATACTTGCTTCAAAATGGAGCTGTCTTGGGAGCAAATTCGCTTGCTAGTCATGCACGAATGACGCGCAGGAGAGAATGCTAGTGAAGCGGCGCGCAAGATTAATGGATCTCGGGACAATGATACGGTTGCAGAAAGGACGACTAGGAAGTGATGAGCGAAGTTCAAAGCTGGAGAGAACGATTTGGATAAACGCCCAAAACCCCGAAATGAATCGGAAGGACGAGTGCGTCACCATCACGCGAGATCTCGCGCCCTTTCTTCGTTTGATCTTCTAACGTGACCTAGGCAGCATATAAATAAGACCATCCGATCATTCAAATAGACTAATACTATATACGTCCAGGCTCTAAAGAAGGCGGGTCGCCGAAACGTCAGCCGAATTTCTACAACTGTTTTATCAACCTCGCGTCAGCTAATCAAGATAAGTTTTCTCCATTTTCATATATCGATTTGGAAGATTAGTTGCTCCTGGGCCGTCCACGAGAAGCTCCATTAATCTCGCGCTCCGCTTCGCTATCATTTCACCCTACGCGCTATTCGAGCATGAGTAGCAAGCGAATTTGTTCCCAAGACAGCTCAATCTTGAGGGAAGTATAGGCAAGCTATATACCAGAATTCTCGCAAGAAAATGCGCAATTAAAGGGTAACAATTCCATGCAATTTTAATTAGTTCTTTTCAACAAATTTGGTGTTTATTGCTCTAGTGCCAAAACTTAGTGAACGACGATTCCAGAACGCGTCATGGTTTTTTTCAAAGTCACAATGATTCGCAGTCTATTCAGTCTGATATCTTCGTGACACGAGCAGAAAGACGTTATGAACAACTTTTTGGATATCCTAGTAAAGGCGTTCTTTTCAGAACACTGGCGAAGAGAAGCGTTAAAAGTGTTTTCCTCTTTATTACGTCTTTTTTCTGAGATTAAATACCTGACTGAGTAGATGGCGAACCAATTTGACCTTTCCCACGTTGTGAAGAAAGCGAATTCGGCGAGACGTCGGCTATGTATCATTATTGTCGTATATTATAGTATTAGATAAATATTATCATTTGAACTACGCATTCGCTTATCAAAGAAAATGTATCGGATTTCTCAGTCCATGCGGTTTTTAATAGATAGTCGGTTTTGGAAAAAAAAGAAGAGCCAGTCTTTTCCCCTACAAACTACCGTAGATAAATAGAAAAGTCTAGATCATTGATAGTCCAGATCTTTCATATGGCACAAAGGATTGTGAACAAATGGATCAGAACCTGTAGCCAAGAAAATAACGTCGGATTGAAAAAGTCTTAGGGAAGAAAGGGAAAAGTGAAACAGCGAAAACGTCTGAGATTAAAATGAGCACTGTTCGAATTGGCTACGATAAACTGTTGAGGGCTACAAGCGATAGAGACTTTCCTCAACAGAATCCGACAGGTCATTCCTGTGAGTTCTCCAAGAAAGCTCTCTATAAACAATGAGTTCGGCTAGTCAACTACGTGGTGTACTGGTTAGAAAAGCTTCTAAAAAAATGTTTTTCACTTACGAAAGTCTTGTCAGATCGAAGAGCACGACAACAAAACCACAAGCATTCAAACATTTCTCAGCGAACTTCCAGCACTTTTTTTAGCGGTTTTTGAATTTTCTTACCTTTATTGGAGAATATGCATAACAGCGCAAGAATAACACGCATGGGAGATGCGATTGAAGTGGTACTGACCCCGATTTCTCGAGCGAACAAGGCACCACTCGGGGCGGAATCAATAGTCGATCAGAAACATTTAATGTCCAGGGTAAGGAAACCGAGGACAAAGTCGGGATCAATAGTTGGGTTAACCTTGACCAAACCGAAACTAAACGGTCTACGACAGTGGCAAAAAGAGAACACCGAAATGGGGAAGTGCTATTGCACGAGCGCTTGCAACAGAGGAGTAGAAGGTGCTGAGTACGAGGTGACGGACTTGAAGCTATCATCAGAAATTTCCCATCTGTACCACTCTGTCGCTATTCTGTGTTGGAAATCTACGTTGAATCGTCATGTTTTGGCAAATAAGTTACGCTAACTTTTAGCGCCGTTCTGAGGAACAGCGATTTGTAACTTTTGTTTGAGACTGCTCGCAATTGGTCATCGGGCAGAGAGAGGGCCTTAACGGGTACACTCCAGAAAAGGAAAAGTAAAAATCAATCTAATGGTGACCGTCTAGACAACAGAGATTGTCTACATTGAGCTGTAATAATATACGACCCATTTACGACCGTGTAATGGCCCTTCAGAAGGTCAATGGGTCGTTGTTCATTCAAGACTAATTGGTAGACCATTGCTCTATTCTTGTCGTTTTGTATTCTAACAGAGATGCACTTCGTGGTCACATAAGTATCCAATTGTATTCTCCATACAAAATTACAGAAGAGCAGTAAGCACATTTGGTGGAATTTCAAACATTAGTATCATTTTTATGTTTCTCAATCATTAAGAATTCAAGAATGGAATGATGTCATCACAAAATTTGTGTTGGACGCGTGTGCACGGTGATCAGAGCTTCTCTGTGACTCTTTGGAACGGTTGTTGGAATTGTAGCGAGTGGTTTTTGTAATTTTATTAGGTTTTTTAACCATGTTTGATGCAAAAATTCTGTATTTGCTTCTTCTTGATGCTCCATGTTTTTCTATCCATTTTGGAACCAAACGGTACGTTTCGTACAGTGTCGCACGACGTCAAATCTGCTCAGATAGTAATGTTGGCGCAGAGTTTTGGGGGAAAGTGGGTGCAGACAACCAGACATGCTTGTACAGACATGCGGATGCGGCCTCCTGCGACTGCCGCGCATGCGAAGGCGCGACGCCGCTTGCCTGTCAACGCTGGCTCTCAAGGGGCTATACATTCTCACATGTTTCTGGCCCATTATACTGTGAGTGAAAAAAGCATTCGTCTATTATGCAATTACGCTGCTTTCAGCATTAAACGAATGTCAATAAGTTTTATAAAGGATATTACGGCGTAAGTCATTTGGTTCTATTATACTCTCACCTGATAACAGATTTTAAGCCTTTAATGAGGTATAATATGGCACCTGTCTAGCTAGACTTAAATTTTGGCTTTCATATCAAGTTTTATCAGTAGCACATGCCTTTTGGCTCAACAGAGCCCCAACATATGAGGGAATCGGAGTCAAACAACTTAAACTGCGCTCCCGATGGAAAAATCACCTGGCATTACAGTGGCAGTCAATTTCTCGACACCCAGTAAAACAAATATAGCAGAACCTTTGGACATGAAAGCCGAGACATACATTGAACACTATAAGTGCCATAGCAGACCTCACGAAAGGTTTAAAATATGTTATCAGATTATGCTGTTCTGAGCGAGGTCTCAAAAAACAGTCGAATAGAAAGGTATTGCTATATCTGTTTTTACCAGCCACTGAGCAATCGACTGTCACTGTATGGTCAGATGATCTTATCACCGGGCAAGTAGTGTATCATGTTCGGCGCCGATTTCCTTGTACGCAAGGACTCGGTTGAACCGAAAGACAGGTGCTACGTGAAAACATGAAGGACATGAAAAGCGAAAGGGCTAAAAAAATGTTATCACACTAAACCGTTTTATGCGAGCTTTCAAAACCATTTAAATAAAAGATATTTTAATCTTTTACAAAATCCAGAACGAACATTTTTTGTCACTTCTCATCCCGTCGGTCGTCGAGTGCTTTTAACGGACCTCAGTAGAACTTCCATATTTCCCTATAGCGTAGAAGACCAGCCAAGTGGATTATTTCCTCTCTAGTAAATTGTTGAGCATCACCTCTTTCACTTAGGCTTTTCGTGAAGAGATAACGATTCTACTTCAACCTCGGCATTATGTTGGCATGAAAAAATTTTATTCATCAACCTCATAGAATTAACTGAATCATCAAAGGAGCTAATATTTAATGGTAATGCCAAGGTTTAAAGAAAGTCGGTTTCCACAATATTATTACATTTGGTGCTAGTTGATAATGACTCCGACTTCCGTAATCGTCAAGAGAAAACGGGTCACTACCAGTGGACTACCATCATACGGGACATCTTTTTTTATAAGGGTATCGCGGCGCGAGTTTATCTATTCGGGAGGTGTTCCACCGTAGAAGATTCGACTCGAACGCCAAAAAAAAGCAAAGATCCACAATGAGGACGCGCGTGTGCGGGCAAGTGACTCAAATCTCTAGCTCTGAAGAACATCAAGATGTCGAACCGTTGGTGGAATAAATTTTAATCATATGACTTGGGGAACTGAGTGGTGAGCAAAAACACGGCCTCAAGCGGGAGTCGAACCCGCGTTTTATCCTATCCAGGGACGTGTGCTCTAACCATTACACCACCGAGGCACATTTGCCCGACCACTCACTCTTCAACATCTCTATGTTAGCTATCAGCCACCAACCTTTAAAAGGTTTGGTCGGATATGCGATTTCGCTTTATAAATCCCTTTAAGCTGAAGACTATTGTTATATATAATAATTCGAAATTATAGTATTTCTACTGCTTATTTCGCAGTTATGATGTTACTTATATAACTTAGAGAATTGATTATCCGACCAAACCTGCTAAAGGTTGGTGGCTGATAACTAACATAGAGATGTTGAAGAATGAGTGGTTGTGCAAATGTGCCTCGGTGGTGTACTGGTTAGATCACGCGTCCCCGGTTAGGATGAAACGCGGGTGGGTTCGATTCCCGGCTGAGGCCGTGTTTTTGCTCACCACTCAATTCTCAAGTTATATAAGTAACATCATAACACTGCGAAATAAGCAGTAGAAATACTATAATTTCGAATTATAAGTTTTAGTTATCAAGTACGTGGTTTTAACTAAGCTGTAAAAGACAGTGGATAGTGTATCAAGAACGACATTACACACAGCATGGGAGAAGTAGTTTATCAATAACACTTATTTTATATTATTAGTTATATTATTAGCATACTTCAGAAGTTGGAACTTCTATAGCATTGTAGAAAAGACTTTATTACATCATTTTATGATTATGAACTTTCTACATATCCGCTATGAAGACATTTTATGGTGGCGTCCTTTGCCACAGGACATGCTCACTATATTTATGTGCTTCATGTACATTCAAGTTGAATATCTCCAGTGCAATTCACCACACCTTGCGCATTTTCCACCTCATCAAAATGCTCTGATGTCACTACGTTTAGGTGGTTTTGGTGGTATGTCCGTATAACAGAGACCTTCTGGAGGCCATTTGCTTTCAATGGATAACCTCTTCCACTTATGTCAGAAGTTTCATTCAACTAGGGTGAGGTCTTTCCAGGCTACGGTAAAAGTTCTAATCGTAACTTGTGAGAAATAGTATGCCTGAATAAATTTTTAAGTGAAAAGTAGTGTCATGCCTGCAGATAAAATTAAGAAATATTGCTTTATAGCCTGATGGAATTCCAAAGAGCCAGACTATTGATTATCGAAACTTATTGTATAAAGTGTTAATTGATGTATAAATATTGCTGCCAAAATTCTAGAATATCACTAAGATGCAGAATATGGATCACTAATAATAATTTTTTCCAAAGCACTTCTTCACGCAATAATGATAGTTCTCGCTACGCTTTCGACGCATAAAATCTAAAAATTAGCACATGGTTTCTTCTGAAAATTCTATATAGTAGAATATGCATTTTCGAGTTAGTTTTTGCAAGATAGGGGATGTACATGCGCAACAAGGGTTGACAAGTTATTTTTACTCCAAGGATTCTGTTTCTCCATCGAAAAGTGTGAATTTTCAAGAGGCTTGGTCCTTTTTCATTGAAAATGCCTTTGCAAAATCTCTTCAGCAAGATCCTAATTTTTCGTAACGAAAAAGTGCGCCTAACAACTGAATTAGTTTTAAAGCTATCGAATTATTGCAGAAATGTAGTAAATTAGCTCCATCCGACGAAAAAGCCATGTCAGCACGAGTGCAGAACACATCCGCACCTCTAATGTTATGCATATTCTTCTCTTCCTTGGGTAGAGCACATCAAGAAGCTCTTTCGAGAATCCAAGCCTAACGTTGAAATCGTTGCAAGTCCAGCTATCGAGCGGCTTTGATATCCAAAGAAGGTTTTGTTTCCGGTGAGCAAACTACGAGCCATTAAGCTAACAATAGTACCTGCCTCAATGAGGTAATACGTTCTGGGATGGCCCTTGGTTCAATCTCCTGCTCTGGAATGGAGTTAACAAACATTCTGCCCTTCATAGATCTGATAATATGATAACATGTTTTGAGCCTTTTATAAGATCTGGTATGGCACTTGTACAATACTGGACAGGCCTTTTCGCCTCTCCAGACTCATCAGTAGTTCGGTGCTTTTTGGTTCAGCTGATTCTTTGTAGGAGGGTATATCTTTTTACAAGTCACCTAATAAGAATAGACTTACCTGAGAAGATAGCAGCACTGCCTTGATACATCAGGAACTCACACCAAACCATTGAGACTGAGTATGCATCAAATCACCTCTGTGATGCTCAATGAAGTTAGATAATTGGCGCATTCTTTAGCGATTAAGCAACGCCAAGTCTTATTCTTTGTTCACTCTATATGATTTTGTTTCACTTACAATAATCTGAGCTTTTTACTCTGCAGAATTTTCGATAACAAATTAGGAAGATTGTCACACAATTACAATTTTTCTATTCTGAAAAGATTGAGTTGAGAAATAAATCGGCCAGATGTAAATCGTGATTCGGCACCCCACCCAGATAATCCTTTCAACCATGCGGACGACAAGCTCACTTGTCTTTTTACATCGTCTTAGAAAGGTTGGTCCACTGATTACACAATTCATTGTCCTATCAGAAATCGTTGTCTTTTCTGGAAGAAATCGAGTCTCAGGGCAACAAACTTCCCTGCGATCCATCACGGCGGCTGGCTACAACTGGTGATTACTGACGAATGGCAATACTCAACTATTTCAGGATTCCAAAGATAAACACTTGCGCCAATAATTATCTTGTTAACAAGGAGAAAGGGTAGTAGGTGTTCAGAATGTAGCCAAACCCATATTTGCATTTGACAACCTTTATAGACTGCAAGGCAACGGAACAATGTTGAGATGAGTTAAATTTTGTGAAGGGCAGTGAGCGTTGAGTCCGTGTCTCAAAAATTCAGTTATAATATTCAATTATTATTTGTGAAAAACTCGGTTGATGAAAAGATTTTCAACATCGACGAAAAATCCAAATTTTATTTTTGTTCCACATAGTATCGGTTATTGTAAATCCATAGGAATATCTTAGAAATATCTCCATAAAACACTCCACGGCAACGCGACGTTGAGGGAAAAGCACCCGACATTAATTCGTCGAAAGTCAACACCGGTAGGCAAAACAATGATAAACCTAACACTGCAAAGAAGACTAAAGAAAGTGTGATGAACTGGAGAGAGTCGAGGTCTTGCCGCATCCAGCTTATAGTCCATATGTTGCGCCGTCCGATTTGTTCTTTTTCGTTCAATGGAACATTTACTGTGTGAACGCCGATTCGAGACATTTGATTAAGCTAAAAAGGCATGTCAGGAGTTTCGTTGCGCCAGAGCCCTAAGAATAATATTTCGAGCAAATTCATAAAATTGCAAATCGTTGGCAGAAGATCGTGGATAGCGGTGGTCTTTATTTTGAAGAATGATTATTGTTGTCTTTAATTAACTTTATATATATATATAATATATATATATATATATATTATATATATATATATATATATATATATAGACTTTTCAGCGGATGATAGTCACCATTGCCTCAACCTCATATGCATGTACAATGAATGTAAATGATTATACACGTCTATGTGTACGTCCGTGTTGGATTATCCACCAAACATTTGTGGTAAAGCAGAAACACAAACCCGCGTGAGATACGATGCAAGATCTCCTACGCATCTCATGGACGGTGCTTAGTTCGGGGAGGCTAGGATGGATGCGCGCTTTTGCTGGCGTTATCGCCAAGCCTGAGGCGCCGCCAATTTCCATGCCGTGAAGTTTTGTTTGCATCGCCTTTCCGGGGTATGTCCCGGAAGGGAGCAGGATAGACGCGTGGGGTCTGGGCGATGTCGTCCGGACTGGTGTCATAACGGAGTGTGAGCTTCGTATGTTTCCTACAAGGGAGAGTTCACGTGGTAAATTGCAAGCGGCGACCATAACAATTAAAAGATAAATATAACTGAAATACGGCAAATGAGATAGTATGGAAGTGTTCAATAACAGATCGAGATACGGCTTTTCGTGAGCATCTTCCCCTTTGAATATGCGGAAGGAAGCATTGGCTTTGTTCAAATTACCCATATCCTCCCTGAGGTCTCCACTATCATATTCTACCATTAACTAAGAAGCAAACAACCTTTGGTGACCATAAGAATGGTGTTTCACTTGCTGAGTGATCCCGCTGCGTGCAGCGCCACAAATCATCGTATTTCCAAACAGTTCGTTTGAGAGGGGCCTTTTTTGCATCTCCCTTAGACTTCTAGAATCACGCGATAGCGTAAATCTCATAAATTTCACGACTGTGATTATCTTCTAGAAAGCCCTTCTTTCTGCGGAGTACCAACGAAAATAAGATCATGTTCTACGATCTGTCAGCAATTTTTGCTCGACTAAAGTATGTAGATTGCTTTTCAGCAGAGTTTTGGTACTTGTTCGATGGCTTCAAAAACGATCAGTGTGAAGCAAAATTTAATTTCCAATAAAATTTCTTAGAACGAAAAAAAAATTTATGCTTTGCATCCGGTGATATTTACATCAAAAGCAAATGGTCGTAGAGAATATCGTAAGGTGTCAGAGCTTCGGGAAAAAATCTAAAATAATAGGTTGGGAAAAAAGTTCTGGAAAATTGCTTGTAACTTTTTTGAGTGTCGGCCATTTTTTTGTGTTCTTGGGCTCATTTGAAGCCCGTCTTCTCCCGCGTTAATTGGTATAGAATTTATCAACTTATCTAAAGATGGAGTTAACAAGCGAGCAAATTAGGTTGTTGATGATGCATGAATGGCTGTTGGGTTCAAATGCAACGATGGCAAGTGAATGTATCAATCTGGTCTGGGGCGAAGACACACTTGGAAAAAGGAGAAGTGGGGAAGTGGCAGAAAGTTCTTGAAGTTGAAGGAGAGTACTTTGACTACTAGTTTCGTCTTTGTTCTGGTGAAAGAGGTTCATAGATAAATGTTTTAGAAGCATTTTCTCAAAACTTTTCCCCAGCTTATTATTCTCTAAACGGTGACATTCTGAGTGTTTGACGAAGATCTCTCCCCTTCCGTGCGACAGTTGAAATCACTTCGCGTAGCGCAAATCGCGACATACGATTTTCATTATTTAATCAAAAATCATTCCACTTGAATGTTCTGGCCTTTCGTATTTGAACTGTATGAAAGAATTTATTTTATCGTTCTCAATGTACTAACTTTCACTTACAATTTACAATGCCTAATGAAGCCTTACGAAGTTCAAGCAACGGGTTGATTGTTCCAAGTAGGAGTCGTGATTTTTAATCGCTCTTTTAGCGTTCTGTGGAGATATTTGTAGATTTTCAGAAACCAAGCCTGGTTTTGAAACGACTGGCATCTGTACTATCAAACCACTATCGAAATTTGAAAAACTTCCATCCACAGACCCTATGCAAGCAAAAAGTGCTCTTCATGCTTGTACGAATTTTATTCTCGCTGCTACAGCGCAGTATGAATACGTTTTCAGAATACAAGCA